CGTATATGTAATCGTATTGGTATTATTTTTAATGGTCAATTAGCTTGTTTGGGTACAATTCAACATTTAAAATCAAAATTTGGTCAAGGTTATACAATTGAAATTAAAGTTCATTCAACATCTAATAATGCAAGTGCAACAAATATTCAAAATGTTCAATCATTTTTATTATCACAAACCCAATTAAATGTAGAAATTAGAGAAATAACATATTCAACAGGATTATTTCAAGTTAAACAAGGTACACCAGCTGATTTATTTGAACTACTTGAACAAAATAAACAACAATTAAATATTGAAACATATACAATATCACAAACAACACTTGAACAAATATTTTTATCATTTGGTAAACAAGCTAATGATGCTTAATAATGAAGAATTTTACCAATAAATTTTGATTTTTATAACAAAATATCTACAAACATTTCTATGTGATTGTTTGAATATTTATTTATTTATTTTGTATTTTAAATTTTTTCTGATTTTTTAAAATAAAAAAAAAGAATCATAATCGACAAATTAACTCTTGAATTGATGTCTAATCGATGAAAATAGTTTTTAAGCTAAATGTTTAATTGATTTTATTTGCCAAACAATACAATGAAATTTCTCCTACCTTAAGTTAAACTGTTTATGCAATGTTACTATCAATTTTTCACGGCAAATGTAGAAATAACAGTGTTCAATGATCAAAACTCAGCAATGTCAGGAGATCGACTATCTCCACAAAAAATATCAGTTCTAATGTTAGATTCGAATGGTTTATGCATGGTATTTTTTGAAACGTCAAAAGAAAAGATTAGGTGATCGTATCCGAATACGACTCTCTGTTTTGCAAGTCTATTTCACATAATTCAATTCATTTGGTCGTCCGTTTATCACCTGTTTGACTTGTTCAGAAGTCAAATTTTCGGACACGCTAGAGGAAAGCCAGAATGTGTGTCAACTCCACTGAATTGGTAAAGAGATTCCAAAGAGAAAATTTCGTCGTCGAGAATGTATTTTCACAACACCATGCCGCTTCTTTTCTACTCTTGTGAATGTAGACATGATTACGAAGAATTATTTCAAAAAATGTGTCTGAGACAAAAGAGAAAAAGGATTTAATCTACTAAGATAATTGGAATGATGCAGATGAACAAACAATTTTTGTTTGTACTACCCAATCGATTTAGAAAAGTTGTCATTCTTGAATTAAAATAAATGAAATTCGCAAACAGTTAATCTTGGCTGTACATACTCTAACAATCACCATTGAGTTGCAAAAGTTAACCTCTTTTGTTTTTTATTTTATTTCATCAGTAAGTATTGTCGATTACCCAAAGCAAAACGACTGTCTAATTCAAATCACTACTTTGTCATTTTCCAATGGAATCCAGTAAGATTCTTGTGTTGCAAAATTTTTGCTTCACCTGTTACGCAACTAAGAAAACTGTATCAACAGTTGAAACACCAGACCTCTATTGCCACTTGTCTTAACTTGGCATATGAGAATAGGTTTGTTGAATCATTACGACTTCAGATGAAACAACAAAGCTGCCATCAAAGATAGAAAAGAAGTTCCATTCTATGCGTTGATACTGTTCTCAGAGATAAGAATTTTTTTACACATTGTCACCATTGAAGGTGAAACACGTGAGTTCTGCCCATCATCAAACATATTTATGGAATGATCATTGAAAATAGCTGCATGCATGTTAAAATATAGTCCATTGCACTGAGAAATCCACATCCTCATTGATATGTTTTGTATTGATTCACTTTCTTTCACTGACGGTGTTAATCTATTTGTACTTTATGAAGTAAATGTAAATGAAATATTCATCTTTGATTATAAAGTACAGACAGAATCTTTTTTGTGTAATAGGCAAATAGAGAATTACACAGTATAACGAAAGGATATGTTTATCAACATTCTTTCTTATCGCCAATAACACTTCGATGTGCTGGGTTGTTTTAAGATGAGGATGATATATGAAAAGATACATGCAAAAATTTTATTCGATATATTTTTTTGTATCTATGATTCCATAATTTTTTGTGAGCTATTTGAAGGAAATAAAAGGTTACGTGTTCATGAAAAAAAATCTTTCTTTTTTAAAAAACAAAGGATTCGTTTATATATATTTTTTATAAAGATAAATTATCACTTGTATCCTCCAGTTCTGTTTCGGATGAGCCTAGTATATTGTCTCTGGATGTTATGTTTTCTCTATTTTATCCTATGTCCTTTCTTTTACTTTTGTTCTTTTCTCTTTCAGAGCAGTGGAGTAAGGAAACGGTGGAGAGATGGAAAATTCCAGTATATGAAACAAAACAGAGACAATGAATTTTCTATGTAGTAGTCTCTCATGCAACTTGGCAATGAACCAACTGCCAAAAATTTTAAGCAAGTCTAACCAAAGTCGATAAGTTCTATTTATTTCAGTTTCAGCTTTCCACGCTGTTTCTTCGAAATATGACTCATTCAGTTGTGCATGTTTTCATGCGCTCACATGATGTATGTCAGACATATTAATAAAGAAAAGAAAACCATTTGATCAAAAAAATCGTACATATTTTATGAAGAATCATTTGTCTTAGAAAATTTAATAATGAATTCTGCGTCATTGTTTTTTCCGTATTCATTAGTAATTCTACTGATAGATGACACAAAAGAATACTGTTTCACGTATTTCCCATCGAACAATAGCTAGAAATCTATCTCAAACGATTGAAAATAGAACAAGTAAAACAGCGACGACTCATAGGCGAACATTATCATGAAAGAATGCATCGCACAAGTCAGATAAGATGAATCAGAAGAAATCATCACACAAATCAAAACGAAATAGATTCACTACTTTTTCTGCTTGATGGAGTTGATGATCAACAAATAATAGATGATTTATCTAATTTTTTTTATTAGAAGAAAAAGAAAATCTAGATGATTCTATTATCATTTGGCTTGAACCTACTAATAATAAGAATGTTAAATCGATATCTTGATTGGGTACTATTATTAATCGGGTAGAAACGTTTAAAAATGTGACTACATGCTTAAATTACATCTATCTACTTCAAGACTAGAAGATATTTTTTTTTGTATCGTATCATCTTCTTTTATTAAAGACATACTACTGTATATTGATGAGTCGCCAGAAATACAATATGTTTATATACATGAATCGATGAATAGGATACAAGAGCAAAAAATGCAAAAAAGACATCCAGAGATATGTGGTACTTAGATAGAGATGGAGACTTTGATTATTCATCTGACGAACGATGTCATAACTTATTCTAATCTTCTAGTGCATCTGAATGTGTTGACAACAGGTAAGAAAGAAAAGTTAGTGAAAGATTTAAAAACGGAAAATCCATCACGAATGTGGTTAAATTTATTAATTGAAATATTACTTCGAATATCACAAATGAAAAGTACAATAGATAAAATGATTGCAGAATGTAAATTGTTCTATACAGATAATCCAGTTGAATTTAAGAAAATTACTCATCAACAAATGCAATAAAATGGTATGCATATGTATGCTTTGTATTTCGCCAACTAAATAAGCATGTAGAACACAAAATATTCATGTCCTATCTAATCTTCGATTCTTTCTCATTGATCTGTAAAATCGATTGCAAGAATTATATAAGTCACAATTTGATCATACTCCAAGCGAATTACAAAAGTGAAAAGACAATATTGGTGGACATGTGTTTATCAACAACAAAATCATGTATAGTAGCTAGTGATTATGGTGGAAATGATTCGCGTCATTCATTTATTGAATCGGTCGTATTTGAAATAAAAGTGTACGTCAAAAAAAACAATTAAACCATTTGCGAATATTCAAGAAGTCAGTATTATGAAAAACGAAAGTGAAATATTGTTTTCGATTGGAACAATCTTTAAAATTGAATCAATTGAAGAGGTATTGGATAGTGTTTGATTTGTCAAACTCACTTTGAGTAAAGACAAAGACAAAGAATTAAAACATCTGGAGGATTATTTCATTAATCAAATCGGTAAAACAAGTAATCGCGAAATATTATATAAATTTTTGAATATGAGCGAAGAACATGACAATGTTACAAAATATTCTAAAAGAATAATAAAATCCATGATTAATGAACTTACAATAGAGTCCGGTTCAAATGAAAAATATTTTAATCCATTTGAACTTTTGCCTTATGAAAAAAGATTATACTTCAGCGAAAGCGAAACAACAAAATGAACTTGAAAAGAATATAATGTCACTTCCTCCTGATGATTCGACTGTTTCGATACTTTATAATAATGCTGGTATTTCTAGCAAAATAATTGATGATTATTTGGAAGCCCTTGTTAATTTTAAAAAAATACTCTTGATGATCGAAAGGAAAATTTACCAAATGATTATTTTTATCTATTGCAATTATCTATAAAAATATTGTCGAAATTTATGAACTTCAAGGTGACTACAAGACAGCATTGAAAAAACTTGAAATAGTATTATAGATACAAATGTAAAGTAACCTGTTGGATTAATGCCATTTAGCTACGATCTATCACGGTAGAGACGAGTAGTATGGGATGCAAAAGAAATCCTATATGGCATTGAAATTTTTCGAGAAAAGAACTCAAATGTATGCTAAATATTTTCCATGAAATCATCCTACGTTTGCTGAACTCTAGGGCGCAATCGGAGAGGTCTACAACGAAATCGACAGTATAAAAATGCTTTGAAAACCTACGAAAAAGTACTGTCAATTGCCAGAAAATCATTACCACCGAATCATCTTGATCTTTTGTATTACGAAGAACGTATTGACGAACTTTAAACTTTTATTAAATTGTTAAGGTATGAATAATTCACGACTTGATTACCTTGTTGAACAAGCTGTTCGACTATTTTTAGTGGTTCGAATTATGAAAACTCACGTTTCTCTTTAAACTTTAAAAAATGTTTTAGAGTTCCTTGAGTTATTTTTAACTTTATACGTTTGACTTCTAATATTCTGGTCAATATATTTAATAAATCGAGAATAATAAACAGTTTTTCTCTTGTCATTCTAATTGTAGGTGCCGGTGTGTTCCATTTGAAAAGCTTTCAGCACAACTCTTACCGAACTATAATGTGAAGCACGGTGTATTCATTCCGCTTATAAAAGTTTACATTTGCAGATATATGAGAAGAGTTCAGTAAGTGATTGAGTGGAGGCATTAGAGAACTTTAGCATATGTTGTGATTAAATAGGTTTGAATAGTTTACTGGGTCAATGTTCTTTCAAGTATACGTGAGAGTTTTTGTGGTCACAATTTTTTGCCGAGAGAAATCCCTGACATATGTGAAGATACGGTGAAGAGAAGATGCCCCAGTAAACAATAAGGTTTGGGTGTGGGTATTCATTTAAAGAAAATTCCACACGCTCACACCTATAACCTTTTTTAATCGTTGAAAGAATTATTGCTAGATATAGACAATAATGAATATTGAATTTTTTTTGGTTTATTGACGAAATGTTTCTGTGAAGAAAAACAACAAAAAAAAAGGATTGAAAATTCGATATTTTCTTATTCTTTTTCTTGCTATGTCTCTAAAGAGGTCGTTTTTTGGTTTTTACAAGATTGTGAACGATTGTGACGAGACTTCATATGATTTTCATGATGTTTATAAAATGCTGCATCATCCTCCATCATCCTACATTGATTCGAAAGTTCAGTTAAAGAAGTTACAGAATCTAGTTGAGAATATGTAATTGTTGAATTACATTAATTTATAAATAGATACTTACTTTCCTGTGCAATAATACGTTTGAAAAATATTTCTGATAAAGAATTTTCATCATCTTTATTATTTAATTCCATCATTTCATCTTGAAGATCAAGATTAATCCTTACTATTGGATCATTATCTTCCGAAACAATTTTTGAATGATTACTATTTAGTTGAAGTTCACTCGGATATTTTGATGTGTATTCTAATGAACTATCATATTTGAATATTGTTTTTTTTTGTTGAAGAGATACTATTGAATTATTATCTATAATTAAATGATCAAAGTGAATTTCATTTTTCGAATGAGATTGTGAATTAGTTTTTAAATCAAGTGTTGTTGTTGCTGTTGTTTCATATTCCAAAGGAAGAGAAGATTCATCTAAGAGAATAAAAGCAAATCGGATATTTATGAATATGCTAACAAAATTTTGTTTTAAATAGTCTTTTGCAAAAACAAAAATATATATATTGAAAGAATTTGCCTGTAAAAATATGATTTTGTTGCATTGATGGTGGTAATGCTGAATTCGAATAATTGAGATGATGTGATTGTTGATTAATTATTTGATTTTCATTTGAATTATCATCAACTGCTGATAAGACTTGAATACTTCCATCTGGACATAAATGAATCAATCGTTTTGGTTTAAATGGTGGATGTAGTAATAATTGTTTACATAAAGTATTTTCATTATCTATAAGAAATAAATATATGAATATATAATAATTCATCAAATAATATTTTTATATAAAGACTTTTGCTTGTATTTATATTATTTATTAGAATATTTTTATTTAAATTTTGTTCTTTGAGAATATGTGGTGCATTTAATGCAAGTATATGAATAATTTCAGTAATTTGATTGGAATCTGATAGATTGAGTTTATTACAAAGTTCTTGACATAATGTATTTTCATTGGATAATTTTTGTGTATTCGATTCATCTAATATTACTACTGATTTCGGTTTATTAGAGTTTGTTGGTTTAACTATATCTCTATAGTAAACATCAAAGTTCAAGAATTTGATGTAAGAACAATACAAAAAAAATAAAATAAAATATACAATGTAGTGTTTTGTGGATCTTGATCAATACTCATGCGTAAAATCTATAAAAATAATTGATAAATCATAATAAAAGTGAAATTTAATTGCTATACTCTTTGATATTTTTCTTGAGCATTTTGAATTGATTCATCAACAAATATTTGTGCATCTACTTTCAATTGATTATCATTATCAATAAATTGTTCTGATTCTTGTGATGGAGATGAATCATGATCAGGAAATGATAATATTGAAGGATTTTGTTCATTATTTTCATTATGAGAAATAGTACCAGTCGATAATGGTTCATCTTCTGGTGACTTTGTTAAATGTGATTGAACGCTCGGAGATACTAAGTAAGAAAAACAAAGAATGATCAGGACTTCATTGTAATTTTCTCAGAGTGATAATGTCAAAATGAAAGAAAAAGTAGTCTTTGATTCATTATAACTATTCATGAAATACATTTGTTAGTAGTTATCCATACGATTTTGTGAAACTCACCTACATTTTTCGCAAGAAATTAGTGAGAGAAAAACAGAAAAATTCAAGACTTTAAAAGACTTCTAGACTGAAGTTACTGCTGTTTTCTTGCTCGAACAATGCTGAGTATAAATTTTAAGTCAAGGTTTTACGGTTTCACTTCCATCTATGTACATAGCGACCAACGTTCGAGAAAGAAACAGTAGAGATTTCAGTCTTGAAGTCTACTGTTTTCTCCTCGCCTTCATCGAGTACATTTCCATTGTAGTTGAAGACAACCAGTACCAGAATTTTTTTCCAAAATTTCATAGTAATAGAAAACGACACTAACGATAAAGTTTAGAATGTTGTAGAACATCTAAAAGCCTCCGTCAAAATTTGAATGGCTGTAATATGTTTGTGAATGTTCTAAATAGTACAGTTTCTGATTTCTGCATTGGGCAAAAATTTATGTACACGATGATAGATAGTAATGCATTGATTTGCTATACACCGTAATATGGTCAACATAAGAAGTATGAACTGATTAAGTTATAACATCGGAGAATAATCAAAATCAATGTTTCTGAGCTTATCAAGATCTATAATAGTGCATTGAAATTTGCTGTAGATATCAAGGATATGTAAAACAAAATTATTAGACAGTTAAATCAGGGTTTAGCATAATAATAAACCTACACTTATAAGACAGAAAAATAATGAACAAATTGCTGAAGAGCAAACAAAAATTAGAATACCAGTAGAAAAAAAAATTTTGTTATCGAAAGGCAGAAATATATAAGACCGATCGTTTCTCTAGCGATCGATTATCCTTGGAGAACAACTATAGTCTAATATAGATTTTTTTTCACTTAACGTATGTTGTATTAGTATAATGAGACTAAATAACACATGTGGGCTCCATATTTTTGCCTCAAAGGGATTATGCTGGCAAGCTTTTATCTTAAATTATTTTCTGTTATGATAACAAGATATACTAGTAATACGCAAGACACATGACAACATGATGTCAATTTTGATATCTAACATATGAAGTTATCGTTGAAGACAAAGAAACAAAAAAAAAAGAAAAGCAAATTTGAAAAACAAAATTTATTTACAAGACATGCCTGAATATGGAGTAGGTTGACTTTCACTTGTTTCTCCTATTTGTGGAGATTGTTTTGATTTTTGAGAGAATTCTCTTCGACTATTCATTTGTTTTTGTGGTATACATGGTGTAAAATAATGTTCTGAACGATAACAAGGTTCATACGGAAAGAATAATGGTCGACAATGTTCACAACACATTCCACGCTTCATATATCTTATTGGTTCATATGAATAATGGCAAAGTGTATTAGCTAATTGTTCGCGAAAATTATTTTTTGTTGTTATATTTTGGCAATGTGATGAATGTACAGGTGCTACAATAACATGTGAATTAATTACTCCTAAAGTATCATTTCGATTTTTCTGTTCAGTTGAAGGTGTATGATTTGATTGTGCTCGATTTAAATTTTGATTTGATATTGAACGAACAGTTATACGTGTGTTATTTGAAAGTAAATTTATATTTGATGAAATTTTTTCACTAAAAATTTATATTATGAAAATTATAAAAAAATCAAAAAAAACTTGTTTTTTTAAAATCTACCATGAATTACTTTTCAATAATTGATGTTGATAACTTTCTTGATTATTTGTTTCAATCATTGATAAATGATGACGTGGAAGTTTTCGATAGATTTTTTCAGAATAATTTTCTTTTGCAGAATTATTAAGAGACATAATATCTAGACTTTTATTCGATTTAGTAGTATCATTTTGACTATAATGTATTTCATCTTTTGCAAATGATAAAACTTGCCAAAGTGTTACAAAAAAAAGTTCATATATGAATTTTATACACCATATAGAACTTCTGTACATTGTAATAAAAGTATCTGTTAGACAATCATTATTATTATCATCTAAACTGAATGATTGAATAGAATAATTTAATTTTTTTTTTTATACTAAAAATTAAAAATGTTTTTTTACTAATAAATTTTTTTCTTTTGACATGATCGTTGTAAAATAATTGTTTTATTATTTTTAGTTTGTTCATTATCAAATTCCATTATTTCTTCTTGATTATCAATTATTATTCTTGTTTAATAATCATTATTATTGAAAACACGAAAAAAAGAAAAAAGAAACGCAATTTTTTTTAAATAGTCTATTCAAGAGTAAATTCGATAACCGTTTATGTTGATTTGTATAGAAAATAAAGAATTTTTTATACACGCGCTTTTCTTAAAAACAAAATTAATTGACTTTATACGTTTTAAATCTATTATAAAGATGGCGCCTGTTACTTATTCGAAATCCTCTCTCTCTCTCTCTCTCTACAGATACATATCTATTCTTTTAAAACAATCAGAAAGATAAACGAATATACATTGACATTAATAGATATTTTTATTTTCATTTAAAGATGTCTTATTTTAATCAACGAAAACATCGTTCACATTTTCATAAAATTAAACGACTTAATAATACTAATCGACATGATGAAAAAATGATCCTTGTAAGATTTAAAAAAAAAAAACAACTCTTTAAATTAATCGATTTCAATCTTTCTTCGTCTCTCTCTCTCTCTCTCTCTCTGTTTCTTTTAGCCTAATTTTTCTTTTAATATTATTGATAAAACATCAAAATATACGAAATTTTTCGATTATCCATTGCCGGAGTTACTTGTTGATCATTCAACAGATCCATTGCAGAATACAACACGACAATATATTCATACATCATCCAATATTTCGAATGAAGGTCGTTTTAAAAATCATGAAATGAATATACGTCGAAATGGTGAAACAACTATACTTCGACCTAAACAAGATTTAGTCCTTGTTAATGGATTTACACCAGTTATACGACCTTCCACTATATTACCATCATATCAATCTATAATGTCTCATACTCAAGTATCATCATCTTTATCAATTATGAATAAAATGTCAATAAAGAAACCTGAACAACCATCAATAATTAAAACCAAACGAAAGAATCGATATAGACAAAAACGTTTGAATGAAAAATTTATTGAACAAAATAATATACAAAATTATAATGTAAATTTAATCTTGAATAAAATATTATTATTTTATAAGAAAAATAAATTTCTTTATTTAATCTAGTTTTCAAATGAATTTAATCAAAATAATTCACAAGAATCAAGTTTTATTCATTTAGTTAAACAGGCTCTACATGATATTATTGATGAAGTATATTAAAATTCTTCTATATTAATTTATCTTTATTAGAAATTTTTAAATTTATTCTAGAAGACATTTCTTCCACCTCAACCAGTACCTCTTATGTCAATTCTCCCTGAATTTCATGATCCGTATCCAAATTATAACGTAATTTTATTTTTAGAAAAACAAAATAATCATTTTTAAATTTAGAATCAATTATCATATTCTAATCAACAACAATTTATACCACCATTAAGTTTAATACCAACCGATAGATATAATGAATCTTCTTATAATATTCCTCAAGAACAAAATCATTCGCCGCGTTTTACTTTTCCACAACATGAACATGTTTGTTTACGTTCATCAATGTCTCATTATAGAAACTATAGTCATATGACTGATTATTTTTTTAATTAAAAAATAACATTTCATAACGACTTAGAAACATAAATATATATGTAGACTTATTTTTGTGTTTATTATTTAATTTAACCTTTTGTATTCATATTCTCACATCTTGTTTTTCTTTTTTTGTTGTTATTCTTGTCTACTCATCTACTAATGCTATATCTACTAGTATTTTTCTTTTGTTGTGAAACTACTATCGATTGGATGAATGATTGGAAGAGAAAAAACCTAATATAAAGCTGTTATTTTTGTTGACATCAACTGTTATCGGTCTTATTCATGTAAATAGAAGAGAATGGGCCAGACAGACTTTTTTTTTCATGATTATTATTTCTATGGGATATGAAAGAATGTCGGCATGTATTTGCTTATTTATGTCGATGATATACAACCATATGCACATCGATAATTATCGAACAAACAACATAGTGTTGGAAAAAGGTCATACTTTGTCATAGTCGAAAAAAAAATTTCTTATATAGTGCACTCAGTCCAATGTGTGTTTTATATTTTTCAAAAAAAAACCTTTAATTGATGACAAAGATAGCAGCAACAACATTTGAACATGAAGAGATTGAAAAAAGAAGTGCAAAGAAAAAAAGAGAAAGAAGAACGTATTCATAACCTAAGTTATAAAAAGTATTTAGAAAGAAAGAGCGAGAGCGAGAAATACCCATTTTATCATAATTACTTCTTTTACATTGTTGTTTTTTTTTCTCTCTTTTTTTATCTTATAAACCAATACAGAAATAAAATCTCGCATTGAATATTGAACTGACAAACAAACAAAAAAGAGGAAGGAAAGATTAGAGAAAACAAACAGGATTTTAAAAGAAAGGTTTTTCTAAAGGTAATCATATCTTGCAATAAATGAACGATAAAGACATTTTGCTTTTTGTTTATACATCAGAGAAAACGGACTTGGATGTTAAATTATAATCGATTGTATTTATTCTTGTTGAGCAACACCGGGTGGTGGAGCATAATTTGGTTTGTTACTATTATAAAAGAAAAAGAATTTTATTAATTAATTAATCGATCAACAAGAAAATTAAATATTTACGTCATCTCAGATCCACTCTTGTTTCCCAAGTGTTCACCAGTATCCATACCTAATGTACCAGCTCCTTGTCCGAAACCGTAACCTTTTGGTCTAAAAATAAATTTTAATGTCTTTATTTTATATTATTTGCTTTTTTGAAAACTTACCCGAATTTACGTCCGTAACATTGTTTACAATAAACATTGCCTTCATGTTCAGCCACGGTCATAGCTTCTAACATTTTCTTACAAAGACCTTTTATTAAGACATATGATTTTATCAATCTATATCAAGAATTATATGATAATTATTCAACATACCACATTTGAAGCACATCTTATGCCACTTTTTTCCAGCTGCTGGAACTTCTTCAGCGGCAAAGACGCTTTGATTGCATTTTGGGCCTATCAATACAAAAAAAATGAAGTATTTTGAAAAAGAAAAATTTTTCTTAAAATAAACTTACATTTGGAACTCTCTGGTGGTTTGAATGGCATGATTCAATTACAAATTACGAATTAGAAATTAATAAAAATTATCAAATCTGAAATACATTATGTTATATATGATAGATAATGATTAGAATTTTAGTCACACTCATCTTGAGTAACATATAAAATGAAAAAAAAATAAAAATAAATGACGCAAAAAAAAAACATAAATATATATTGCAATAGAGGTCTATTAAATAGTGATTATAAATTTAATTTATTCGTGTTGACCAATGCCAGGTGGTGGGGCATAGCTTGGTTTATTTCTATCATGAAGAAATTTTATATTAAACAGTTTGATCAAAAATAAAAACAATTATTCTTACGTCATTTCTGAGCCAGATTTATTTCCAAGATGTTCGCCAGTATCCATGCCAAGAGTACCTGCACCACCGCCAAAGCCAACACCTTTTGGACCCTTGAATTCAAAGAATTGTTTTGTAGAAAAAATAATCATATCAATAAAGTTCACTTACAAATTTACGAGCATAACATTGTTTACAGAACAAATTTCCTTCATGTTCAGCAAGTGTTGTTGATTCAAGCATTTTTTTACACAAACCTATTTTGATTTTCAGAAAAAAAAAAAAAAAAAAAGGAAATTAGATCATTTTATGAATAATCATGAGAATAAAAAGAAAAATAATATAATAAGGAAAGAAAAGGCATAGCATAAGATCGACTCCTTACCACACTTGAAACATGTTTTGTGCCATTTTTTACCCGCTGCGGCTACTTCTTCAGCGTGATAAACAGGCTGATTACATTTTGGACAACGAACGATTTGAATTGCAAATGGCATCTGAAAGGTATGATTAGCGTAATGGAATCAAGCAGGAACATGCATATAAATAGAGTTTTGTGAAAATAGAATGGATTAGAAAGGAAACACTTCGGTGAATAGTTGTTATGTAACGAAGGTGATTTTGATTTTCTTTCGTGTAAAATATATAAGTATGTACCGCATTTAAAACACATTTTGTGATATTTTTTGCCAGCTGCTGGGACTTCTTCGGCTGCATAAACATTTTGATTACATTTTGGACATTTGACTGCTTCAGGAGGTTTGAACGGCATTATTCGACTAATAAATCTATCTATCGAAAATATATAAATAGTCTCTACTTACAATAACTTTTACTCAATGTATTCTATGCGCTAGATGTATTCATTTAAATCACAAGAATACAAGGATAGACTACGTATTTGCTCAAACTTTTCCCTCTATATAAAGGATATAGAAACAACACAGTTATTTTCTTGGTCTCTCTTTTTTTTTCTTTCTTGCTATCTATTGGGAACGATTCCATATCCGAAAAAAAAACAATCGATATCGTACATAGAATCTATCAGAGATCTTTTCATAGAAAATGATTGTTGCTAGCATCACCCTTTAAGAAGAGAAGAAAGATGTTGTGTAAACATGTATCGTGTTGAATATAGGGAGTGTGTGTGTGTGTATGTGTAATAAACCGAGAAAAATAGAACAGAACGAACGATATCATCACTGTTACTCTACAATTTCTCTCCCAGCAATATATATATCGGAGATATCTATAGAAGGAAAAAAATAGCATATACCGAAAGCTTCTGAGATATATCGGTATTTTTCTCTGTAACATCGTTATGTGCATGTGTGGGCAAAAACAATATAGAGGAAGAAAAGTAATAGCAAGATGAAATTCTAACCCAAATGTTCCTCCCAAATTTGGCATACTAAGTTGATCGAGAAAACGGCCATTTGCCATTCGTATAACGTCTTCTTTTTCTTTTTCTATTCTTTGTTAACCAGTGACAAGATGTGCTTCATGTTCTATAGTTAATCTTCTGTATATTTCCTTCTTCATTCTATTAGACAACTATATTCTCCTTCATCGTTTTTTCTTTTCTTGTCTACTCCTTTCTCACCAATGACATTCCTGTTATCAATCACATCTCATACAAAGACAAGAACCATATCAAGCAAATATTAATAGTAATAAGGACGATTTCTCCGTTTTTGTTTCTAACTGTAACATATCAGCGAAGACAAAAAAAAAAAAGAAAAACAACAAAACTAAAACAGATACATATTTATTCTTTATGTTTAAGTCATGGAACAACACGCTCCTATCCAATCACAGTCTGATCTATGCTATACTTATGATTATGGATTCAAGGTTTCAAATGATTTGTCTTTGTATAGGAGTGTTAATTGTAGCAAAAGCCTATAGGAAAAGGCGAACACAATATAAAAGCACACCCCCATCTAAATTTAGAGTTGTTCTGTGACATTAAATAACCAAGATAGACCAACTACTACTAGATACATTTTTGTTATGATCAAAGATATAAAACATTTGTCGTCTTTTGGGTTTATAGATTTCATGTTGGATATGCATATAGAATAGAGAATACATCTTTATTTAACATAATGAAAATTAACATCAAGTAAAATATATATATATATATATTGAAAGAAATAAGAAAAAAGAGACGACGAACAATCAACGAGAAAGAAAATTTCGATGATCGGATAAAAGTTGTTCATGATTTTGACACCGAATGCCACTTGATGATGAAATAACACTATCAAAATAACAAAAATATCTAAAAATAAATAATACAAACAAGTCCACAGGAATGTCAACTTATCCATTTATGACCTGTTTTGAGTCATAACGTAGAACTTCTTAGGAATATTTCATCTACTAATAATCAAGAATAGGTTTCATTCTGTTTCTCAAACAAAATAATTTAATATCTTTCTTCTATTAAAACAAATACAGCATTTTAAGGTCAATGATAACAAAATCACCTAGTTTTTGACATTTCTCATCAATAAAAACAAAGTCAAAGTCCGTCACACTTGTATACTTATATTCTTTCTAGCGAAAAAATGTCTCTCAACTGATTAATTGCTTTTGAGTCGACATTATGTGCATCATGTTGACGCTAATGGGCTATATATGAGTGTATAGCACAAGTTTTACATGTAGTTTTGCTCAAAAACTTGATAAAATGTTGATTAGTACTGATTTTATCTCAACGTATTTTCATCATTTTCAATTAAAGACATATTTTGTTAAGTTTAATTCTTTTTCACAATTTTATTCAATAATCAAAGAAGTTGAAAGTAGCAGTTTGTGTATTGAGTTCACTGTAACGTTATTATTTCATTTGTTTTTCAAATGTAGATGATTAATAATCCTCATTCTTTAAAGGTCATATTAGGTCTCTGATTGTGCCAATCGTTCATATACACTCAGAGAAGGACTATGAAAATAACTTAAGAAATATAGTAAAATATACAATATTTCTGTATCAATTAGCTAAGACCTTGAACTTATTTTTGGGGTATTCAGACTAGAATGGAATCTACATGATGTACATAGTCTTGACTCGAAAGTGATTAATTAATTGAAGGAATTATCTTGTATGAATTATTCTAATTCTAAATAATATTTACTTATGTATATCAGCAGATTTTATAGGAGAACTTGTACATAAATTTTTATTGAGATCAATTGATTGACGCATTTGACCTTCATCATCTGTTGATAATCCATCTATAGATATTGGAATATGTTGCTAATGATAAAAGAAAACAAATGATTTATTTAGTAACAAAATAAAAAAAGCATTTGAATAAATTTATACTATTTCTTTTTTTATTGAAGATGCAATCATTTGATTTCTCGATCGAAGTTCCTTTATTTAAAAGAAAACAAATAAAAACAAAATATTATTAATTTTTACTTCAATTTCATTTAATTGTGCATTCATTCGTTGTTTTGAAATCATTAATGCTTGTTCAAGACACTCAATTTTTTTATATAAATTATAAATAATTGTATTTTTATCCGTTATTTCCATTTGTAATTTATTCATTTCACGTTTAGCATGAAGAATATTTTCATTATATTGATATATTTGTATAGATAAATCATTAACATTCTAAAACGAACGAAAAAAAAAACGAACTCCTTATGAAAAATAATAGTAATTAATTACACTGGTTTTATTGTCTTTTTTTAATTGATTTATGTCATTCGTTAATTGTTGAATTTTTTCTTCTAAAATCTTTTTATGACAATTTGAATAACTAGAAAATAAATTTATATATATGTATATATATAATTGTTTTTAATTATTTTTTATTTTTGTTAGAAAATTACTTAATTAATTTATTAGTTTGATCAATATTTATGTCAAGTTCATTACGAATAAATTTATCATAATCAATATTATCAATTTCTCTAATATGAAAGAAGTTCTTATTGAAAAAAGAATAATTCAAAAAATAAATACTTGATTTCAGATATTGGACTATCTATTATTATTTTTTCTTCAATTAAACGTACTTTAAGAATTTCTTTTTCTGTTTGTAAACGTTGTAATTCTAATCGAAGTAAATTACATTGTTGTTCACTATTATTTAATGATGAACGAAGTTTCTGTATTTCATCAGACTAAATTAAAAAGAATTCACAGATGAAGCAACTAAAATAAGCAGATAAGTGTTCGAGGAAAAATATTTCAAAGAGAATTTTACAGAGAAATCCTTGTTTTCCAAAGAGGGTCCGTCACATCTTGATGCATTACGATTCTCATCAAATAGTTTTGAAGATACGTCAGACTATATCTCATAGGTTTATTTTGAGCTTTTTTTTGAAGTCTCATTGTTCATTTTTTTATGAGAATAATACGCAGTGGTTTGGAATGGTGTCCTGGCCAGGTACGACCTTTCGTAACCGTACTCGGACCGAAGCTAGTCGATATCCGGCAGATACTTTCATGGTTACAATACGGTGAAAAAGTACACTATTTGGTTTCTTCCATAAACAAAAACAAAAACAAGAGATTCAGGATTCATTTGATGTGTCTTTGCTTCTAAAATCCGATCAATTTCGCTAAGTATAAGCTTTCTGGTTGTTGATGACGCTGTAGTAGAATGCAGTGTTGGTGTAAAATACCTCTCTATACACTGCAGTAATTTTTTCATGTTTCATTATCATTCGGGACGGATTCGAGTGCGAAACCATACCCAAAACTCGACCTTGTTGCAAAACATTAGTTTGAAGCTAAAATTAGAAATTTCCCTTTTAAAATCCTACAAATCCGAACACGAAAGGCAAAATGTTACACGAGGATCACAAAGTACAGGGTGTGTCCACGGTAAACTCTCTTTGAAATCTTTTTCTTGAAACACGTGTCTACTTAATTTAGGGGATAGTTGTAAATACTTACAATAATATTTTTTCGATAAGTATCAAGTTCATTTTTATGTTGTTCACGTTCAGTATTGAGTTCATTGACTAATCGACGAATTTCTATTTCCTATATAAAATATCAGACAAATGATTACGAATTGTTGTTCATTTATAAGTAAGAATATGAAAACAATCATAGTTTTTGTTTTTACTTGTTGATCCGAATGACGTTTATAAAAATCAATATCATTTTCAAGAATTTTAATTTTTGATTCAAAACCTATTGAATCAATAACTTGATCACATAATGGTTGTTGCTATAAAATAAATCTCTAGATAGATAATAAATGAATATAAATATAAACGATTACGTTACTGCGTTGTAACGAATTAATTAATTTTTCTAATTGAGCATTTTTTTCACGTAAAATAATTTCCTCATGATTATGAGTTTGACAATTAGTTTGTTTCAATTGATCATTTTCATTATATAAACGTTGATTATCGATTTCAAGCATCTATTAAAGTAATAAAATACTATTATATAAATATGATAGGAATAAAATAAATAGATTCATGTCAACATTTTCCTATCATCAATCTTATTCATATTAATTAGGAACTAAATGATCCGAAAAACAGCTTTGACTTGAAATGACAGGTTTGAAATGTTTCCTTAGAACATTTAAAACAAATTCTATATATAATTTCAAGATTTTGAACTTATATTTTATACATAAGCAGAGTATCACAAGATAGTCACTACTTCCAAAAAGCTTTTATTGCATTTAAGATTTGATCGAGATATATGAAGGTAGTGTTAGTCTTGTGATACTCTATTTATGTGTAAAAAAGTCAGATGAGAATCTTGAAATTATATATTTA